CCTACACTAACCTATAGTCTACGCCCTCTACTATCAGTTCCTTCATAATGTGACACTCATACACACATCAAACAAAACATAAAACTGTAAATTACAAACAGGTAAATCATACCTTTTAAAAATCCTTCATATAATACAAATGTTTTAAACGCCGCGCACCCTATTTCATTTTATTATTTACATTTTTAAGATTCCACCTATCCGGATTGAGAAAGCTGTGGTGGTTGGTGGTATGTGCGGCGATGACTGCCAGCCGCGTCACCTCATTACCCGCTCGGCTGTCACACGCTGCGTTACTTCTCGCATTCATTAAATGGAGCATTTTGTGTAACCCAAAGCCAATATATGTCAAACAAGAGAGCAAGAGGAGCTGGTGCAGTGTGTCGTGCAGGCACAATGATTCGAGGAGTTTAGATAAAAGATGTAACTAAATCACTGTAGAGGAACACCAAGACAAGGGTAAACTTCAATAGCGAGCGACGTTTCGCCTGTAGTGGTTGCATCAAATTCTCTAGTCATTAGATAAATATATCACATACGCTATAATATTGGTCTACAGATAAAACTCATTAAGAGATATATGTCAAGTCACTTCCTTGTTTCAGCGTCGAGTGTGCCACTATTTTTATGTCATACGTAGTGAGAATAAGGTGGCAAGACAGCCCCCACGAGAACAAAGGGGACGAGTTGTGGCGGGTCTGGCGTTATTCTCACCAGGAGGTTCAACGTACCGGAACGATCTCTGGACTCACTCATGCCCACCTTTTTCTCATCCTCGACTTTCCCCTTCCCGTTCTCTCTCTCTGTGCTTCGATCTCCTCTTCTAAATTTAAGTACATATTAACCCACCCACCTACAATGATATCACTCGTGGTTATCGAGAGGTGATGATATACCCTAGTCACCTAGAGCTTCCGGGATGTCCCCGAGAGTGAGGTGAGAATATTAGCAACCATCACACCATGTATGGACGCCGTCTCCTGCATACTAGGCATCACAATTCCGAAAGAGAATGAGTAAATAGATCGCTGTAATAAGATACTGTTACTTTATAAACAAATATTATTAACGAATTGCAGCGTGGACGACATTTCGTGCTTGAAGGTTCCAATTGATAAAAAGAGCGCAAAATTTACAACTTACGCATTACTGGACTACTTTTTATGACCTGAATAAACTATTGACGCACATATAAAACCTTATGGTGCTCCATTCAGCACACAAGGTGACATACAACACTGTTCACTGACAACACTCTAATGCCACAAGGAACTAAATATTTACAGAAAGCAAGCTGCTATGTCAGATTTAAAGCTTTAAAAGAAGCAAATCAATAATATATAAATTCCACAAAATTAATAAAATCTTTCTCTCTTGAGTTGGAAAACTTCTTCAAACTCACTCTTTTTTTAAGACGGTAAATAATCAAACAGCTTTTATCCCATTAAAGTATATAGCCCGAGCGAGGAAGAGGTGCCAATATCGGGGGTCGGGACACAGTACCAGCAAGGGCCGGGCGGGAAGCAGCACGGGCTGGTCCCGCGTCAAGCGCTAGCCTCCAGCTACAGTCGCTGGTCATGAATACGATATATTTCTTGTTTGGAATGAATGTCCCAGATCTTGAACACTGCTGAACAGTTCCACATGAAAACATTCAGACTCATAGTCGCCTGGACGTTTTACGTTGTACGTTATGTCCGAAGTGGTTACTTAGACAAATATAATAAGAGTAATTGACCACGAGAAGACATTGGCACGAGCACACAGAGAATCTCTCACATTCAGATCTTAATCTACAAGCCTGAATAAACCATGAGACATAATGTACATATTTCAGATATTCACTCGTTTACTGTGTGATTACCTTGTATATAATGATATTGATAATGGATACCTCATGGAATGAACACACACACACACACACACACACACACACACACACACACACACACACACACACACACACACACACACACACACACACACACACACATTGTACACCGTATATGTAAGACCAGGTTTAGAGTATGCCTCCCCGTCATGGAGCCCCATCTTAAAAACACATATGGAAGCTCGAAAAGTTACAGAGGTTTGCAACGAGACTCGTCTCAGAATTCCGAAGGATGAGTCATGAAGAGAGACTAAACGCGGCGACGCTAGAAAGAAGGAAAGAGAGAGAGAAGACATGATAGAGGCATATAAAATACTTGGGGAGTGACAAGGTGGAATAAGAGGAAATGTTCACAATGAATACCACAAGAAAACAAGGGCATGGATAGAAGTTTGAGTCTCAGATGAATCACAGAGATAGAAAGCTTTTTTTCAGCGTAAGAATAGTGGGAAAATGTAATGAACTAAAGTAGCGGGGTTTAGAGGCAAACTTCACGTATAAATCTAAAAGTAGATATATCACGAAAATAGGTCAGGAGTCATTGCCTTAAACAACCAGCGGCTAGAAAAGCGGGGTCCAAGAGTTCGATCCTACAGGCACAAATAGGTGACTACACACACAATGGAAGCCCTTAACCTGTACAGACATGAGGATTGAGAACTGTGTGTACACTGGACCCCCAGACACCAGGACGACAGTGTCTGTGTGTACACTGGACCCCCAGACACCAGGACGACAGTGTCTGTGTGTACACTGGACCCCCAGACACCAGGACGACAGTGTCTGTGTGTACACTGGACCCCCAGACACCAGGACGACAGCGACTGTGTGTACACTGGACCCCCAGACACCAGGACGACAGTGTCTGTGTGTACACTGGACCCCCAGACACCAGGACGACAGTGTCTGTGTGTACACTGGACCCCCAGACACCAGGACGACAGTGTCTGTGTGTACACTGGATCCCCAGACACCAGGACGACAGTGTCTGTGTGTACACTGGACCCCCAGACACCAGGACGACAGTGTCTGTGTGTACACTGGACCCCCAGACACCAGGACGACAGTGTCTGTGTGTACACTGGACCCCCAGACACCAGGACGACAGTGTCTGTGTGTACACTGGACCCTCCAGACACCAGAAACATCACCTGACCCGGAGACAACAGTATAAACGTGTTTCACTGCTGCTAAACATCTGACGGGTTTTATATTGGACTTTTATAGGATGGTTTCCGGGTTAGAAGACTGATAAAATTTGTGAGGCTTGGAAGGTTTGGTGAGGATAATGTAAGGAGGTTTAAGGTGGGAGAGGATGGTTTAGCAATGGTTAGGTGAAGGCAAGGTAAAGATGTTAGGAAGGGGTTGCGGATTAAATTATATTTATATGGACAAAGTGTTTAAGTACTTTTTCCACAGTCAGTAATACGGACACCTGTGTAATGTAGTCCAGGGCTTTCATTAGATGTATAAATTTGGACACGGATTGTCAGCTACACACAGTAGTTAAGTTTGTCAGTTGTGTTTACAGCAGTTGTGTCATCCAGGGCTGTCATAGCTAACTTTATAGTGTATAGGACTGTAGTGCATTGTTTAGTGCAGTCGCCTTAAAACAGACTGGGCCCAAGGTCGATTCCCGAGCAGGTCGAGCATACTGGAAAAGGTTTCTCACACATGATGCCTCAGTTCTCGTGGTAATAAATATTTACCCGGAGTTATGCGACAGTTGTGGGTAGCATCCTGGGAAAAGGTTAGCCGGTATCTTAGGCGGACCTTGAGAAGTCTACGAGGCATACTGGCTCCGACAACAAGAAACCAAACCATTACTTGTGTAACTATGTTGGTCGAAACTTATTAACTCTATATATCTGACTTAAACGGTCCTGAGCTGTTACTCTATGTGTGTGTTAGTTAATCACAGTACGTGAAGGCTATTAGTTAACAGGAAAGCTGTTTAAAAAATCGTCTAAATGTGTCACGAGTTGTCTGCTGAGTGGCGTATACTCCTCACTATCTTATTGTTAATTTGTCGCCCGAACTGGCTGAGCAATACACAGACATGTAAGGGCAGGGCAGTGGAGAGGCCACTGACTATGACCAGATTTACACACATTAAGTTGGAACATCATCCCTTAGCTAATGATAATTTATCTTATGACACTCAAATCAAAATCATCAACTTTATTAGCGGAGTTATTATTTTAATCTTTTCGCACGCCTTGTGAATCTAAATTACCTGGCCTTGTTAGACCTCCACACGCATGTAAACTGCCTAGTCACGCCTGGGTGCTTGCCCTCAGCCGTGATTCAGTGCTGGTACAAGCACCGGATTCTTGACGCTCCGCCAAACACTAAGAATTATTCCCGGGTTACATTACGATAGGTCGCTGTTTGCATAAGATAATCCATATTTCCAGGTTATAACTTAGATAGCATGGATTTATCTTGCAGTATTAGACCACTGTATAGGCAAATATAGTTGACTACTTTTACCATGGTTAAGTTACACTGTGAACATGACTAGATAACACCTTCACAGGTCACACCTTGAGTCTCTGTATACATCTTATAGTGTTGTGAGCCTCTTCTTGAATCACTTGTGATATAAAAAGATTACTGATATGTATTTGTGTACATGTATTTATATATATGTATGTGACAATGTCAGACCACGAAGGAAAAATGAAACAGGAAATTTCCTTAAGTACTTTCGTATATTAAATACATCTTCAGAAGGTCAATACGAAATATACGAAAGTACTTAAGGAAATTTCCTGTTTCATTTTTCCTTCGTGGTCTGACATTGTCACATTCTTAATCACGTGTTTATTTTCGTGATATACACATATATGTATGTGTATATATATACACGTGTATGTAATATTAACAATTGTGTAACTAGCTTCACAAGATAATCAGTTGTTTAGCTAAACGAACTATGGGGGTTCAGTTCCTGGACCAATTATGTGCCTCTATAACCCTTTACACCACCATCCACGGGTATGGGGTGCATAATAATATGCGCCACATACATGACTGGCGGTCAATAACACTGTACTGCTTTAGTGACCCAACCAAAGACTAGTAGGAACTTGCGTGGAAACATTACTAAGCTCCCGAATCTTGTTGCCCTTCCTGGCTAGCGTCGAGGTGTAAACAATCACAGGGGTCTTTAAAAACGACATCGTTAGCCACAACAGAAGACGAAAAAATATACTAAAGCCTCAAGTTCAATAACCCTCTCTACTACCCCTACCCCCCCCCCCCCCCCCCACCAACTCTCCCCCCAGGATGACCAACAACCCCACCGTCGAGCAGCGTAGGGGAAAAAATCAAGGTCAGCCATGTTCAAATTTTTTTCTCCTTTCCGAGTGAATGCTGCTTTACTCTGACAACCAAATAAGTTCGATATATTTTTAACTTCGAAAGTTATTATTTTGTAGAGACGCTTCATTTAAAATCATTTCAGACAACTGACCTCTCAATCTTGGTTGAATTTAAATTCATACAATAACTGTACGAACCTAATTGTTTTGCCATGGGAGCCACAATAACAGGTGTGAGGTACTGACCTGTTGCATGGGTAGCAGACGTGGCCTGCTGGGCGGGAAGCAGACATGAACTGCTGGGTGCGAAGCAGACGTGTCCTATCGACTGGGAAGCAGAAGCGGCCTGCTGGGCAGGAAGACGACGTGGCCTGCTGGGTGGGAAGGAGAAGTGATGTGTGGTGTGTACGGCCTCCCAGACCCACCACGCCCCCACCCCAGCTGCTGGGAGGAAAACACAGTTTGAATATGAGAGTTACGGCGCTGGAGAGCGATGATGTGAAGGCGAGGAGGACGGAGCGAAGGGTAGGCAGTGTGTTCTCTGTTGGCCGCGTGGGTGGTGACTGTGGCCAGCAACCCACTCCTCTACACCTGCCTTGCAACCTACCCCAACCCCCCACCATCACCCCCCCACCACGTCCACCACCCGGCTTCACGACAATGTGCACTCTCCACTACACCTCCGTCGACTCCAACGCCCAACGCTTCTTTAAGGTACTGAGTGTAGCCACAAGATGCAAGGAAGAGGAAGGCCAAGGTGAGTGGTGTGGTGTATAGCGGGGGTAGCGGCAGGAGGCGGGCGCGGCGCGGCGTGCTCCTGGTGCAGGGCCCGAGCAGGTTGTGGCGTTGAGAAGCGGCGGCCGCAGCGGAGTGAGCGCGGCACCCTCAGGAAGTGTGTCGCAGGCCCCGTGGTCCACTTCCACCGTCTCCCCGCATACCTATACAGAAAGTAACCCAATCAGTAATCTGAAATTGCGGAAATCCGTTGGCACGGGCTTTTTGCGTGGCGGCGAGTACTGCAGACAGGCACGTCTGGGCTGTGGTTCTGATCCCTAATCGAAAACAAGACAAAATGTTGGAAAGTCTAATTGACACATCCGCGTTGCAAACGGCTATGGTGAAAGTTAGACACGACAGGAGATAACAATGCAGGCAGCGTAGAAAAAAATGCTCCTCCAAAAATACCACCAAGACAGTAAGCAGCGATGATAGAAGAAGCAGAGCATCTAAACTGAAAATAAAGGACTGGACCTTGAAGGCAGCATGAAGCAGGTCGGGGAGACGCTGTACCCAGCCTCCAGACTGGTAGCTGCGTTTCTAGTTCATTAATAAGGTTTTTAAGGCTCTGTCTTCACCTTGGTTTCAACTTAATATACAGTTGAAGAACCACTTCTTTTTATCGAATGTACACTATTTCGACTGGACGGTGAGTTGGATTTTCCAACTGGTAGCTTCCTCTAGCACTATTATTATCTGATATTGTCTGTGACTTGGCTGCCAGCTCCACCTGCTGCTGTCTACAGTCCTGCTGACATGTAACTGAAGATGCAGTATTTTACATTCTTACAGCGACCATACAGTGGATGGGGGAGCGATACTTGGCATATACTAGTATATAATACATCTGGTTTGATAGAAGAAGTATCCAATAACTAGGACAGATTTTGTCTCTTGAAAGGCAAGTTTCCACGGCTGATAATGGCAACCGCGAGATATTGGGAACGAAAAAATGAATAAAATATATAAAAAAAACATTTGATAATAAATAAATGACATAAAGCAGAGAGTTTTCCACTTGCTCTCTGGGAAGAAGCCAGAAAATGAGTAATGTGCATGGCTGCTTACACTGTTTATGTGACTAAATGCCTTTAGGTCGATATATGAGTGGAGGTGTTGCTGCGGTGTTGAGTGTGCTTGACTCCTCACAAGGTGTGGGGGCGGCACATGAGTCACACTAAGCGCCGTGCACCCTTCCTCCTTGCTTGGGTTAAGGCCGTTATCTACGCAAAATGACAAGGGGTTAGTGTGCGTGCTTACTGATTTGTTTACATATTGGCGTTTGCTGGGAGAGCGGTCCAGCTTCATGGATCCTACATTTACAACTGGTTTCCTTTGTTAGTTTCAGTACAGCTTTCTGAAGCTGTCGTGAACAAACAACTTTCTGTTAGTGAAGTTAAGTACTGTACTGGACTAGAAATAGTACAAGTTTCTGAAGCTTACGTTTGTAGGGTCGTAAAAGCATCCACGATGTTCGCCAGTTTCACGCATGTTGCTGTTATTATTATTATGCCTCAGATTGCTGTCTAATAATACATTTTCTTCTGTTCCGACTCCGAGAGGTTATGCTCGTTTATTATATTCTGTTTAATGTACCCGCGTTCGTAGGCGTTATTTTTTAGTTTGTTTACAAACAGCGAGCAGCAGGAAGTGAGAGAAGCGACGAAGAAATACTCCGGATTCTTGGTAAACCGTCAGACCTTCCGAGCGTTGTGAGGTCGGCGCCGTGACACCGTCTCCTGCCCGACAGTCACATCTTCTCTCCTCGCCATTTTTTGTTAAATTACCGCTGACACCACTACTAATACCACCGCTTTGTCAGCCAGCTGTCTCTTCCACCACTGGCCTTACCACTGTCAAACCCACAACACCACCGGCTACAGTTTACACTCTCATCTCATAAATACACATTAACATCGGAGGAAAACGACACTCCTTTTGCTGATAGTAAAGAAAACAATAAAATTAAAAATTAACAGGCAAACCTTGTAACATTATTTCCATAATGAAAGATTTTCTGTGTGAAGGTGTGTCCGCTTGACGTCATCAGGGGTTTACAGAGCCGGGTACCTACGAGTACACACCAGTTTATGCGCCTATCTTAGATTATTATATGAAGAGTTAGAGTTAAGAGTACCACGTGGTACTAAATTCCTCATCTTGCTGCATGGTAAGTCACATATGGACATGTTATCAGCAGCCGACACTGTCAGAATTTAGATGGTTTATAAGGATATCCTAAATAACACGAGTGTGTCTAAGGTAATTGCAAGACTCCAAGTACCTTATACCGGAAGGTTTGAAAAGTCTAATGACTGGAGATTCTATAATGTAATGTTAAAGACTGTGATTCAGGTCCAGCTCTCGAGTGTTCACACCTGGAGTGTTCACACCTGGAGTGTTCACACCTGGAGTGTTCACACCTGGAGTGTTCACACCTGGAGTGTTCACACCTGGAGTGTTCACACCTGGAGTGTTCAGGATTTAGAGACTCGTCACTTGCAGCCACTTGTCACAGGTAACGGTAGCCCAGCCTCAGTCTGACAATTACTGTCACGCTCTCTGGTAAATGTTTCGTTTTGATCTGCCAATATATATGTGACAGATCTAACCAGATCATATTTTTTATTACTATTGCTTTCCGGCTTTTGAATTCCAGTGATTTCTCTCATATTAGACCTGAATGTTTAAATCAATATAGTTTTGATAAAAGATGGGAGTAATTAGATCTATTTCAGTTTTGGTACATGCTAATTATCTGCTGAGGTATAAAGAGTTATATTTGTGTGAGATGGTATCCAAACAACATAGATTTCGAATCTTTCAGTCTGAGCAGGAAGCAGATTATCGATGATTGTTATTTTACTCGCCTAATTATACTCACCTAATCGTGTTTACGGGAGCTGAGCTTCGGGTCTATGGTCCCGCCTCTCAACAGTCACTCAACTGGTGTACAGGTTCCTGAGTCTACTGGGCTCTATCATATCTACACTTGAAGCTGTGTATGGAGTCCACCTTCACCACATCGCTTCCTAATGCATTTCATTTATTAACTACTCTGACACTAACAATTCTTTCTAATGCCTCTCTGACTCATTTGGGTATTCAGTTTCTGCCTTTGTTGCTTTGAGCTTTTACCACCTGCGTTAAATTATCTTATCTACCCTGTCAATTCCTCCTGAGAATTTTGTATATGGTAATCATGTCTTCCCTAACTTTTCTGTCTTCCTGCCACGTGAGGTTCAGCTCACGCAGCCTTTCCTCGTAGTTCTGGAACTAGTCTAGTGGCATACCTTTGAACCTTCTCTAATTTCGTCATGTGATTGGCAAGGTATGCGGCTCCATGCTGGAGCCACATACTCCAGGATCGATCTGATATATGTGGTATACAAGGTTCTAAAGGATTCTTTACACAAATTTCTAAAGGCAGTTCTCACGTTAGACAGCCTCGCATACAACGCCGATGATATTCTTTTCATGTGGGATTCAGGAGAGTGTTTCGGTGTAATATCAACTCCTAGATCCTCCTCTCTGTCCGTTTAATGGAGTAATTATGAGGCTCTTGCTGTCTATCGTATAATCAAGCTCCTCTACAACGAGCCTCCCATATTTTTTATTTATTTATTTATATATACAAGAGTTCTTACATTCTTGTACAGCCACTAACACGCGTAGCGTTTCCGGCAGGTCCTTAATCCTAATTTTCCCCGGAATACGACCCACCAAATCCTTTAACAACCAGGTACCCATTAACTGCTGGGCGAACAGAGGCTACCGTTAAAGATTGGCGCCCGGTCAATCCTCCCCAGCCAGGATACGAACCCAGGCCAACCGACGTAGCATCACCAAGTATACAGACAAATAAAATATTTAAAACAAAACATTCGTAATATTAATCAGACCAAAGTTGAAATATGCAGCAGGTAAGGCGACCATCCTGAGGGAACATGTCAACATGCTAGAGTGCAGAGACATGACACCAAACATGTCAGCATGCAGTGACATGACACTAAACAGGTACAAGAACAGGAACAAATTAGCTATACAGAAATGTTAAGAGTATAGAAGATAGTGCTGCACGC